AGAGTGGGCATAGCTGATGTCATAGTCCTGCACCTGTCCCGCTTACTCATTCACACAAAACAGAGGGAGAGAAAGAAGGAAAAGAGCCACTGCCCACGCTACAACCATTAATACGCTTACCGACAGACAACTGCACATTTCTCATGTTAGCTCTGACTTAAAACAACGTGGGCAGCATTGTTCCCATGTAATTAGTCCCTCTGTGGAAGTTTGGGAAAGATGTGCTTACACGGTTGTTTAAAGCAGAGATTAGTGTTAAAATGCTAAGGTGCCCCTGTTGCTGCTTCACATACATTTGTTTGCTTACACTTCATACTAAGGCATCTCGATCCTGCAGATTTTCCCTCAAAGAGGTGTAGTTTTTAGTTTAAATCATTGCAAGCTCAGAGCAACAGGTTCCCATATGTGACCCTGGACCACAAAACCAGTCGTACGTCGCTGGGATATATTTGTAGCAATAGCCAAAAATACATTGTATGGGTCAAAATTATCGATTTTTCTTTTATGCCAAAAATCATTAGGATATTAAGTAAAGATCATGTTCCATGAAGATATTTTGTAAATTTTCTACTGTAAATATATCAAAACTTAATTTTTGATTAGTAATATGCATTGCTAAGAACTTCATTTGGAAAACTTTAAAGATGATTTTCTCAATATTTAGATTTTTTAGCTCCCTCAGATTCCAGATTTTCAAATAGTTGTATCTCGGCCAAATATTGTCCTATTCTAACAAACCACACATCGATGGAAAACTTATTTATTCAGCTTTCAGATGATGCACAAATCTCAATTTCGAAAAATTGACCCTTATGGTTTTGGTCTGGTTTTGTGGTCCAGGGTCACATATTATTTTATTTTCATGTAAAACAGTTTAGACCTGCTATAGTTAAAAAACATGTGAATGTGTCCTTTAAGGCTCATCCTGGAAGAAAATGCAGGTCACTGAACTCGCTACTGTGCCTTATGCAATATGCATCTCTAGATTTATAGAGATTCTTACCATTCATAAAGGCTATAAAAATTATAAGCCTTTTTTCCACCAATGGGCAGAACGGTTCTCATTGCGAAACATCCCAGTTTCTTTTTCCACTGTGGTGCTGTGAAATTAGAATTATGGTGCAGCCACATTTTCTGTTGTTCGGTCTGTTTTCATGTGCAAAATCCAGACATTTGGAATCAATGTGAGTGGGAATTTCACGTGAAGGCGAAGGATTTCCTCTTGCAGATTTCACAACGGGTTCAATTTGGTCACATGTATTTGATGCAGTCACCAACAGTTTGAAAATGGCTTGTGACTCACAAAGCTGTGCTTCATACTTCGCTACACTATTGACAATACTCAGTGGACCATTTTCCTGCAGAATTTCGCTAATGCAGCCACACCTTCACGGTAGGTCCATTGTCAAAGTTTTTTCAAACCAAGCAGCTTTCTGTTGGTCAGCATGGCAAATCTGCATGACTGTTGCTAAATCTGTGTACGAAATTCCAGATTGCACAGATTCCTATTGCAAACACTGGATTTTACCTGCAAAATTTCATTGAGCTACGGTGTTACGGCCGACTCACAACAAAAAAGGAAACAAAAACAAAATCTCGATATGAATAAAGTTTATTACCTAATTCTAGGGGTTTCACACAATATAACAATGTATATTATATGCCAATTGTAAAATCCAAAAATGACAACACACGACAGATCCCGTTCGATTGAGGTAACTAGAGGCCAGCCGAAACTCCGTACCAAAACCTGTCCATGCCTGTAATAGAAACACTTATATGCACCTCCCCATTTGAATCACGTGTTTCTCAGCTCTCCTGCCACCTACAAGAAAGCCAAAAAAACTAAACAAAAACAAAAAGAAAATACACACCATAACAAACGGTAACTGTCACTTTAGAGTGTAAGTTGTCTTGGAGAAACAAGAGCAGTGGTGTAATTACAGTACAGTAATTAGTTACTGTACTTAAGTATCTTTTTGGCTACTTTGTATTTTCACTGAATATCGAAATATTAGAAACTTTTACTCTCTACTTGACTACATTTTTTGAATAAGTATATGTACTCTTTATTCCAATACATTTGTGATGAGTAATATAATTACTCATTACATTTTGCAGGGCACATAACTTCTTTTGCAGCAATTTCTTTCTGCTACAAAGGAAGTGATATCGCCATCTACAGGGCATTGAAGGGCATTAATAACGAATAACATTTTTACTTTAACTTTAAAACAGAGCACTCATGCGTGAGATGCTGAACAAGCAGTAAGAGACGTCTGTCTAAAACATGTTTACCTGTAGAAAACTATTGAAAATGGTACACAAAAAGGTGTTCTGTGTGAATGGGCTCTTACAGTAAGAATGGATATCTTAAATTCCAGAGAGCAAGAAGCATAAACTGTTTATTGTAGGTTGTTCCAAAGCTGTCTTGGCATGAACCCTCTGCAAAAATGGAGCATGCGACTCAGCTGTGCTTTTGGATAATTGTTGGCTGAGGGTGACCGCTGTAATATAAAATCTTAATTTCACACTCATTAGGCGGGAATGAAAACTCGTACATATCGAGTTTACTGAGAGATATTGTGAGTTGCTGAGAAAATTTCAGCTGTGGGAAATTTGGTTTTATGGTTTAGGAAATTTTGCTCTTCATGTATGGACATATAAAAGATACCCGTATTGCATACATGTCTTGTGCAGAGATATACAGATACATTTTAATGCATTGTGTAATCTTATCCAGGTAATGCTATTAGGGATGTGGCTTAGGAAGGTATCTCTTCTTTATGGTCTGGTGGTATTTAAAGAGTCCAAACTTAAATGGGAAGAGGTCCTCATATGCATGTCTAACCAACATGTGTTTAATCATACATTCTGTATAATGCTGAAAATTATTTAATTTATATGCCAAAATAGCTATGGCCCTCTTTGAAGTGTCATTCAATTGCCAATATGAGCAGGCCCAATAGAACAGTTACACTGAAGATGCAGTCATACAAAGTTTCCTATAACACAGCTGAACTGACATCTGCCAAGTATAATGAAATAAAAATCATTTTAATTTACCAAGAATGTGCAATGCTTACATGTTTCTGTATGATAAGAGAGACAAATGGGAGCACAATGTGATCATGTGAAAAATGTCAACATGTGTATTTCTCCTTCACCCACAGGGTCCCAGCGATTGCCCCCCATCCTGCAGATGTAATGTAAAGTGCTGACAGCTGTGGCCAATGTGCAGCGAGCGTGTGTGAGAGCGCTCTAACCAAGCAGAAACCCAATACCTCTGTGAAATGGCCAGTGGATTAAGAACGTTTGATAAGCCTTCAGACATTTCTATTTGCTTAAGAGCATGTGGGAAAAAGCATTTAAGTGGACCGTGGGTGACCACTGAACTGAAGAAATAAGAAACTTAAGTTTTTCACAATATTTTCACTAAATATTTCAATTGAATTATGGATATGTTGGTTTGGAGAATGCCTTTTAATTTGATTCAATACATTTATTATATATTTTATATTTATTATTCTTTACTTATAAGCTATTCATTTTATTGTTTATTAAATTAATAAATGTAATGTAAAGTAAAAAGTAAAAGTAATGATTATTAATTATTAAAAAAAACAGATTTAAACATATTTCCATGATTAAAGCTGATTTATTGAATATTTTACTTTATACATTTAATAATAAAAAAAAATTATTTGCATACATTTAGAATCAAAATGAAATTATTTAATTTAAATGAGTATTTAGTTTGCATTAAACACTTAATGATAAATATTTAATTATGTGTGTGTGTGTGTGTGTGTGTGTGTGTGTGTGCGCGCATTTATTGTGCATGTATTCAGAATTTTAAATAAATATTGAATATATTATTTGCACATATACCTCTTATGCCAAATTTAATAACAAAAATACAGTAAAAGTAATAATATTGTAAAATATTATTACAATCTCAAATAACAGTTTTCTATATTAATATATTTTCACATTTAATTTATTCCTGTAAAGCTGCATTTTCATCAACTTTATTTCAGCCATTGCTCCAGTCTTCAGTGTCACATGATCCTTCAGAAATCATTCTAATATGCTGATTTGGTGCTCAATTATTAATAGTAGTTTGTATTGTTATAATGTTGAAAACAGCCTTTGCTGCTTAAATTTTTATAGAAACCGTGATACATTTTTTTTCCATAATTCTTTGAATAATAGAAAGTTCAGTGAACAGCATTTATGAAACAGAAATATTTCACAACATTATAAATGTCTTTACTGTCACTTTTCATCTATTTAATGTGTCTTGCTGAATAACAGTATTTATTAATAAATTAAAAAAAACACTCTTACCCCAATATTTTGAATAGTAGTGTGTTACGGTATCCACAAAATATTAAGCAACAACACTGATAATAAAAATAAATGTTTCTTGAGTACTGAATCAGTGTATTAGAATGATTTCTGAGGGATTGTGTGATTATTATGGTTAAATTATTATTTAATAAATAGCAACAAATAACCAGATCTGCAAGCTGTTTTATGTGGTGTAGTTAAAAATCTCATGGCGTTAGTTCATGGCAGATTCCATAGATTCATACTGCATATGCTGTCAGTGCCACTGTGTAAAGTCGTCTTTCCAAATGTTAGATGGGGAAAGGGGGAGGAGAAATGCTTGATCCAGAGTGACCCTGCCAAACCCAAACCTTAAATGTGCTTGGTACACCACAGAACAAGCTCTGAGATGCTCAGTGAAGACGGGCAGAAGATACAGTCTGCTTGGTCTACTTGACAATTTTAACAACTATTTACATTCAGAAGATGCTGATTGACTTTAACTAATGGCCTTGTATTGATGCGCCTTTTTTGCCTGGGCTTCTTTTACAGAGATCTAAAATTAAGGCAGCACCTGTTGCTCTGAATCTACAGCAAGGCCGCTGAATATCATATACGATTGAAAAGCAGGAAATCGAGTTCTTTGCTCTGAAGCAGTTGCAGTCCAGATGTCCACGGGTTCGGTGAGTGATCCTGAAGATCTCCAGGAGCTGTCAATCACTCACATGGACACACGTTGTCTAGAAGACTCAGAAGACGAGTTTAGTATCGATGACAGTCTGAAAGCAAAGACCAAACAACCTCGAGCTGCTTCCAACAACAACAAGCAACAAATGAAGATGGTGAAGGATGGCAGACAGCCTCATAGAAATGCAGCTAACGCCAGAGAGAGGGCACGCATGAGGGTTCTGAGTAAAGCGTTCTCGAGGCTGAAGACCAGCCTGCCGTGGGTACCGGCAGACACCAAACTGTCAAAGCTGGACACGCTGCGTCTGGCATCCAGCTACATTTCGCACCTCAGACAGCTCTTGCAAGAGGACAGATATGAGAACAGCTTTGTGCATCCTGTAAACTTGGTATGAGTGAGTGTTGTCTGAGTTTATCACAGGATTTTATACACTTCCATCTGGTCGAGAAGATTTATTGTTCAGTATTACTGGTAAAATACATAATCTATATTCAATTTTGTAAACATATAAAATATATACTATTAACTAAAAAGTAAGGCACTCACATTGAACAAAGTTTACAAAGAGTGACTGGTTTGTCCTTGTTTTTTTGTTTTTTTTTGTTCATCGCTGTTGTTGTAATGTATTGGGAAGCCAGAATGCGTATCCATTGACAGAAACATACATTAGCCGAACTTTGTCTGTTCTGTGTTGTTATTTTTAACAAGCCATATTACAGATGCATTGTCAGATTTAAGTTGAACCGCGGTGCAAGTGTGTGCCGAACCGTGGGTGGAGAACGGTACGATTCGATTTTTTACCGAGAACCGTTACACCCCTAAAATATATATAGTATTTTCTTTTTAATATTCTGTATTAAATATAAATTTTACATTTTTATAAATATTAATAAATATAGATAATACGGAACAGTACATATTTTATTTACAGCACATATACTGTATTAACTGTATTAAATATATAGTTTATCATTTTATTTATTTATAATGTAATTTCAATTATCATATATCATTTATATTGTTAAACTGAAGTACATTTGTTTATATATATATATATATATATATATGTGTGTGTGTGTGTGTGTGTGTGTATGTATTACTTAGTTTATTAA